TGCTGAGGGGAGAGACCCCGGGGGGGGCAGCCCAGGCCCTGTGGGGGGCACCGCATCCCGCCGTGTTTCCCCCCCGGGACACCCGCCCTCAGGAGCTGGGGCAGAGCTGCCCGGCTTCAGGATGGATCCAAGAGGTCCCCAAACCATCTCCCCCAGTGTTTATGGAGAAGATGCTCCTCTCGTGTGGCTGAAGAAGGAGCTGATGAGCGGTTTTTTTCCCCATGGGATGGAGTCTGCGGTCAGAATGTGGGGCTGCCTGAAGAAACAGGGGTTTGAGTGAAGCTCACAGAGGGTTTATGTGGGAGATCCATCACCAAGCTGGGGAGAGGCATGAGCGTGGATTGGGAGGGATAGGGAGCCCAGCACAGAAGAGGAGGTGGCTATTCAGGGTGTCCTGAGGTGAGGAGGCATCAGTGGTGGGAGCAGCCAGGCAGGGATGGGCCACAGCCACCTTCCAGAGGTGCGGGATGTTAGCCCAGGTTTAGCCTGAGCAGCGGAGGTGAGGAAGTGGAGAATGGGTGTCATGTGGACAGGGGAAGAAAAAGGAAGGGAACAAGGGCTGGTTTTGTTTGCTTCTTCATCAAGGGCAGCCTGATGTTTGGCCGTGCCAGAAATGAGATGGAGGAAGGAGAGGCACCAAAGGAAGCCTGGCAGACAGCATCAAGCTGAATAGAAAATGTCTTTATGCACCAACATCCTCGAAGGGAAAACGTTTCAGTGGAAAACGTTTTGATTTCAAACCCAGTTCCAGCTTCTGTTCTGCAGTGCAGCGTTAACCCAGAGCCCTCAGTGAGTTTTGTTGGTGTGTGGAAGTGCCTGATGTAAATGCTGGTGTTTGATTCGGGTTAGTGAGCTGTGAGGAAAACACATCTTAGCCACATAAAGCAAATCAATTAAGTCTTCGTTCCCCAAACTGGCGCTTCCTCCGTGCGGTGTTGCAGGGCGAGTTAAAGGCACCTTATTAATACCACTGAAAGTTTGTTGCTGGGTTGGTTGTTGTTAGTAGTTTGTTGAAGCACAGTGTTGTTGTTTTCATCTCTCTTTTCACCAATATTGGGGTCAATTTCGGGACAACAATATCACAAAAGAAAAAGCACAGTGTTTCCCCCCCGGGACACCCGCCCTCAGGAGCTGGGGCAGAGCTGCCCGGCTTCAGGATGGATCCAAGAGGTCCCCAAACCATCTCCCCCAGTGTTTATGGAGAAGATGCTCCTCTCGTGTGGCTGAAGAAGGAGCTGATGAGCGGTTTTTTTCCCCATGGGATGGAGTCTGCGGTCAGAATGTGGGGCTGCCTGAAGAAACAGGGGTTTGAGTGAAGCTCACAGAGGGTTTATGTGGGAGATCCATCACCAAGCTGGGGAGAGGCATGAGCGTGGATTGGGAGGGATAGGGAGCCCAGCACAGAAGAGGAGGTGGCTATTCAGGGTGTCCTGAGGTGAGGAGGCATCAGTGGTGGGAGCAGCCAGGCAGGGATGGGCCACAGCCACCTTCCAGAGGTGCGGGATGTTAGCCCAGGTTTAGCCTGAGCAGCGGAGGTGAGGAAGTGGAGAATGGGTGTCATGTGGACAGGGGAAGAAAAAGGAAGGGAACAAGGGCTGGTTTTGTTTGCTTCTTCATCAAGGGCAGCCTGATGTTTGGCCGTGCCAGAAATGAGATGGAGGAAGGAGAGGCACCAAAGGAAGCCTGGCAGGCAGCATCAAGCTGAGTAGAAAATGTCTCTATGCACCAACATCCTCGAAGGGAAAACGTTTCAGTGGAAAACGTTTTGATTTCAAACCCAGTTCCAGCTTCTGTTCTGCAGTGCAGCGTTAACCCAGAGCCCTCAGTGAGTTTTGTTGGTGTGTGGAAGTGCCTGATGTAAATGCTGGTGTTTGATTCGGGTTAGTGAGCTGTGAGGAAAACACATCTTAGCCACATAAA